CAAGTACTGAGAAACCTCCATGGTGGGAGGGACTTAAAAATAATTTAAAAAAAAAAAAGAGAGATAATTTGTTGTATCTTGGGTTGAGGACAATAACCCAAAATTCTGGAAAACCTATTTGGAAAGAGGCAGCCCATAGATACCAAATTTTAGGAAGTAAAGCACAGAGGGACAGCCAGCAACAAAAGCATGGCTGCATTCAACATCCTGAGTGGAGACTAGGAGAGTGAGAGAGAGGGAGGGAGGGAGGGAGGGAGGGAAAACAAGTGTATTTTTGTGTGAGCATATTCACACTCAGCTCAGGAAGCTTGCAGCCAGTGTCCTGCATGGAGGGATCAAGAATTCATGAAACAGATAAAGAGCCGCCTACCTTTCTTGGTGGAATCAGACTAATTTGTTTTTGAGTGAAAGACAGTCTTTAAAAGAGCTCTAATACTTCTAATACTGTGCTTTGCTGAATATTCTTCTAGTTTTAACATAATGGATTCTTTCAGTTTAGAAAATCCTCATACTCGTTTTTTTGCCAAAATGTTTGAAAACATTCAGAACTAATTTTACTTCCTGACCATGAATAATTGACATTGAGGTGGTACATTTTTCAAGTTTGAATAAAACATGATAGCTTTTCTTATTTCAAAATAAGAGGGAGGAATAAATGTCAATGGTTAACAAATAATTCCTGTGCTGTTCCAATAATGAAAAAAACAACTGTATAAAAATGGATCCATTTGGTAAATATTCAAAAGTCATTAATCAATTCCATACCTAACAAGTCAGCGTATCTTAACATCCCTAGTGCGTGAAGCAAACAGATATTCACAGGTACTAATTCGCCATTTTTTGATAACTGCATGATGACAATTTCACATTAATTTTTCTGTTATTAATTGAAGTGGTAATGTAACTCAAAATGATTTGAATCTGTATATCTAATTTTATTCTCAATTGCAGGCACTTGCTGTAGACATTTTTTACCCCTGAATTCTAACATTCTAAAATGCTACTTGCAAACTCCTGGCTAGACTGTTCCTTTGAAAACCTCCAGGATACAGAGCATAATGTACTCATTCTCATGATGTAATGA